TTTTTTTTTTTTTTTTTTTTTTTTTTTTTTTTTTTTTTTTTTTTTTTTTTTTTTTTTTTTTTTTTTTTTTTTTTTGCATGTTATTAAATTATTATTATGATATTCGTGTGAATTTTGTAATGCATGTAGTACCCCTCATGATTGGTTATGACTTCTATGTACATCATCCCATTAAATTTCAATTTTGGTCACAATTTTAAATACAAGACCACAAGACCTTATGCATGTCGTATGATATAATCCAGAAAGATTAAGTGTTCAACAGAAAACATATTCTCCATATTAACCTCTTTTGCAATGTCAGTCCCAAAGCTAAATGTTACGAAGATAATCATCTAATTATTCAAATTGGAGATTGCTAATGGATTGCTTTTGTGACTTGGAATTTAACAGAAACGTATTACTCCATTTCTATCAAGGAGTTTGTACAATACACACTCCACCTAATCACATTCTTGCTCAGACCCTCACCGAACAAACGGTATCAGCAAATACTCAGCATAAAAAAGCTGCAAACCAGAACATCAATAGACGGTCAGAGAGAGGGAGAGTTTTTAAAAAAGCAAGAATAATAACAATAACTTTCATAAAGCAAATGTTTATAAAGCAAACTATTTATAAAAGATAAGAGAAAGAAGAATAAATAGAAAACTCCTTCGACTCCGATACTTGAAGAGAGTCCATCTAAGACACCGAGAAGACTATGTCTAGCTACCGAGATGTAAACTTTGCTAACGAAAAGCAAATGGGAGTTATTTGTCAAAAAAAAAAAAAAACATTTAGCAATTAACATAGTTTGACTGGTTTGGACACACTATCAATCAAGAGATAGAAGCTTAAAATTACCCGATTCCAATTGAACTAAAAAGAGTACTCAACAAGATATCAGATATTTAATGCCCACATACAAAATGGTTTAATTCTGTATTGCTCATAACTGATTTGAAGTAATGCGTTAAAAACTCGTTAACAAACTGATAATACATAGGAACACCTGCAGCAATAGCAGACCTAAAAGCCCTCCAAAGAGAGGAAAACACAAGGGCTCTTAGAGGAGGAGAAGGGCACAAAGAATTCAAAAGAAAGGCCTATTAGAAACCCCTTTGAGGGCCTCCAGAACCCAAGAGCTCAAGTCCCTTCTCCCACGATGGTCAGAAATAATAGAAGGAAGGTTGACCACCTCACCAGATTTCGGTCAATAAAATACCTAGGGGTTTCTTTCCCACCAAGAAATCTTTCCAAAAGTAAGCAGTTGACTCATCCTCAATAAAACATATAACAAACTGATACCACCAAAAGCATTTAAAAGAATACACGAAGTAGATTATCCTCCGAGAACTGGCTTTTTTCCAATGAAATATTCCTATGCTTCAGAAGTGAATTTATAGCTATTAAAATTGACTGAATCAATATTGAATCCAACAGCATAAACTCATAGAGTGATTGATTATTTCACACGTTTTTCGGGAGACATCAACTACAAATAAACATTTATTTTATCTCAAATTTATAGTTACTAGACTACAAGTTAGACCACCCCTTAGAGCACCTTACCATCATGGCATTGACGCTCATTTAACTATCAATTATTTCTTATTTATTGTCTGTTTGAATTGACTTCTTAATAATGGTTTTAAAACATTTTTTTTTTCATTCACAAATATTTTTTAAGCATTTAAAAAGTGAATCCAAATAGAGTTAGAAGGATAAGCTCCTACCTTCCATATAAACATGTAAAAGGATGTTATGGCAGCTTTGCTCTTCAGATCAACTGATTTGGCACGAATCCAAAGAACGGAAGCCAAAGTGATGTGTCCAACAACCTAAAGAATGTATAAGGATATTAAATGAGTTAGAAAGTACTTATGTTGAGATCGATTTTAAATTAGTTAAAATCACTTTTGTTAGGTTCAAAATCACACTCTCAAACCTGTCATCATTGATTTTGAACAATTAAATGTTTATTTAGGAGTAATTCTAAACATAACAAAGTAACTGTAAAACTTTCAAAATCACTTCTTATTTTAGTGCTATACTTCCAATAAATATTAAAATTGGTCATGTCTAAAGTTAATATATATCAAACTTGTATAAACTTGGTAAAATGATAGTAACAATTTTCATTCAAAAACAACATTATGTGAAAATGATTCCTAAGTTTATAGACAAAAGACTAAAAGACATAGAGATTTTTTTTTTGAAAAGTTAACAATAAATAACAGTAGGCAATAGTTTAAGATTTATTGAAAATACAAAAACTAAACTTGGATATTCGAAAGTACAAGAACTAAAATAGATCATGTTCAAGAGGACTAAAATCAAAATGATATTTTAACATCATATTCGAAAAAAAATATAAGTTACTTGTCATCTCTACTTGCATACTAGTTGTAAGAACAGTTTTTATTTTATTTTTAATCTATTTTTCTTTTCATAGAACTATGACGTTGTCTATGCATGCGTTTTAAGGAACTAGAGATTTACCGTTAGCCATTTACTCCATGGGGAGGAAGATGCAACTCCCACTAAAACGGCAGCACTATATGCTACTTCAAGTAAGGAAATACAACTCCAAAACACCTGCAGAAGTGAAATCATCGTGCTAGGATATATGATTGTACATGTTCATGCCAAAATTTGAGCAAAAAGATGGAATAACTGAATACCCACCCGCTCTTGCCCTAGACGTACTGTAAAAGAACGGATGCCAAATATCTTATCTCCATCAATATCTGGTATATCCTAAAAACTCAAGTACAATAACAAGTTACAAGAATAATTGATTAGGAGTTGAAAGAGTAAATGTTACTATTATTACACTAAATATAAATCACCCTGGTTGACCTAATGGTCAATAACGGTCATTTTAAGTAATAAAGAAATTAGATGGAATGAGTTCAAGCTATATGTTAATTTTTTACCAAGAATTTAAATCTTACGAGTCACAAAATATGAAAAGATAACAAATAAACTTTTGAAATTCAATTCTCATTTAAATCAATTGTTACCTTAAATAATGCTATAACAACCGAGAAGAAACTCATAAATGCAGTTGCAAAGATCAGGGAACGTGAAAAGACAGGAGGTCTTTGGAACACGTGAGTCTGTAAACATTGATACATATTAGTCAATCCCCAAACATATAAGTGCACCAAACAAAGAAGATCTGAAACAACTTAACACAAATGCTAGTGTGTAAAACTTAACTATCAATATTTTGAGCACATGGGAATTGGAATACATGTGAAATATCTAAAACTACATTACAGATTTTTTGTGGGTTGATGTTGGACATATGTGATGTCTGAAAAAGACGATGTTTTCTGTTACAGAGTTATGTGGGTTGATGTAACACTTATGTGATATGCCTAAAAAAGGACAGAGTTTTCTGTTTAATCAAAAGGTTGAAGCCATAGGTGAAGTCCAAACTATATGATTAACGAATTTAAAATCTTTTCATTGGCTACACAGTAGCAGAGCATTTATTTGACCACAGTAATAATTAATCTGAAGATGTGAGGTGGAATCAGACTTCCTTATGTGAGGTCGATCCAACTCTCTCAAGGGTTGAGGAGGAGACAAATTTGGAACTGGAGGGGGAGCTTGTGAGCCCTTCCAATAAAGAGGTGGAATCTCATGGTGAGGGTCGTATCAATAGAATAATTACAACCAAGGACCCTCATCTTGCTTCATATGTAAGGTGACTCATCAAGTTTCTGAGTGTCCAAAAAGAATGGCTCTTGAAGCTTTTCAGACCACATTGGGAACAAATATAACAGTTGAATCTGAAATTACGGAAGTCGAAACATCGCAAGTCAAAGGCATCGACGCATGGGATCCTTCAAATTCTTATTAACTCTATAGAAGAAAGTAGGGGAGATGGAATGGTTCTTTGCAGAGTAGAATATAAAGAGCTGATTTCTCCAATACAAACAAGAGCTCAATGATGCTTACTACGTCATTTCTAAGAAGTACAAAGTAAAAGCTAAAAAAGCAGTTTGGAAATCCCTCCCTAGTTTTCTCAAGTTCTCAAAATGGTAGCAAAAGTAAATAATAGTCATTTTTATAGGGGAGTGTATTTTTAGGTTTATAAAAAGTTTTTGTTCATGGTTGTTTTTATATGGTAATCTTTATATTTTTTTTAATTTTTCCTTTTCACTCCTTTTGGGAGTTTGTATCCTTTGAATTTTTAATTCTTTCCTAATGAGAAGTTGTTTCTCTGAAAAAAAGTAAAAAATTGCCATCAATCTATCTACCCCCGTTCAAATAGTATCTAATCTTTTGATCCCACCAACTTTTCTGTTTATTGAACATGATTTTTGTGTCCCCAATTCGTCCGTCTTATTTAGATTTCTACATGCATATTCAAACTCACGTCTACACTTACATCAGTGGCCTGGCTTCCAATCTAGAAAAATTAATTACAGTTGTGCATAGAAATACACCTATGAGCACGAAGTCAACATACATGCATATTGATATTCCTCATAAAATATTATTATATAATAAACATTTAAAAAAAAAATTAACATGCCACAACATGACTAGAGCATGGATAACAATCATTATTTATTCAAAATAAGAGGTACTTTTAACCTGCATGTGTAGGAAAAAAGCAAGTTGAACAATCACGGCTCGAACAGCTAGAATGCACATAGCGGCTACCACAGCAAATCTCTTCCATCTCAACAGTGGCAGCTGAAATAACAGAAAAGTTAAAAGACCATCAAGCTCCTAATCAAAATCAATTTTTCTTTCAATTACTTAACTATGCTCACAAAAATATTTAGTTTACATCATCCTGAATCACAATATTAACATCAAAATCAATCGACAATTAAGGAGGTAGAATTTCAGAATGGTGAACAAGAAAAAAAATGACTCAAAAGTTCCAGGGAGTCAATTTAGATCCTCAATCAATCATTTAAATTATTTTTCACAAAATTCCATTCAAAATCAACTCAAAATTTTGTAAATAATTCTTTCTATAAAAAATCTACCGTGTACGAAAAAAATTATCGTGAGAAAAATAGAAGAGAATTTATTTATTTTATTTTATTTTCTATGGACCAGAGATAATTTCATTGATGATTGAAATTTACAGAAGGGATATAAAATCCATGATGTTGACAATGAGAGAGGTATAATTATAAGAAGTAAAAATATTAGATGGTTTACACCAAGATATAACTTGGTAAACAACATTATTGCTTCGTAGAGAGATTGCAAAAAGTGTTTACTGTCTTCTAGAATGGATTTGTAGGTGATAGAAAAATTGTTGGTCCAATTTTGATAGCCAATGAATGGGGAAGAACTACTGAAGATGAAAGAAGAAAGTTTGGAAGATGGGACCTAGAGAAACCTTGAAGTATCTCACATAACAAATGTTTCACATTTCAACCTTTTTGTTCTTATTTTTATGAAGAACTATACTTTGATTTAGAAAATAGAAAGGATACACCAGGGGCAATGCAAAAAGTCAGCCTAGAACAAAACGAGCCAACGAAAAATCACAAGAACGACCTCCAACTATTAAGAAAAAGAAACAAAGGATAACTACAAAAATCTCTAGCCACTGAAACCCAAGGGGGGTCATTGGAGCTAGCTATGGACCGAACCTCCCCCAAGGCCTCACTCTTCATTCACAGAAAAAACCTGAACCTGTCGCTTGTAGTAAGAAACTCTACACTCCTCTGCATTAAGAATAAGAAAAAGATTGATAGGACCTATATTTAGTATCCAAACAGAACAGCAAACACCGAACGGGACTTAAACTCCAGAAGGCACATCTTTTTGGCACTTTCTCAGCAGTCTTTATACTATCTAAACATGCTAACCATACAAACATTTCAACCTTTTCTGGACAAGAACCATTCTAAACGTTCATATTTCGTTTGGAAATGGAAAAAAATTTTCCCTTCTAAAGATAGGTCCTGTCAACCCATTGTAAAGGTGTCTTATCTAGCCTACCAACCTACTTTCTTTACACCCCCCCAACCTCAAGTGACAGTAGCACTGACAAAGAAAGGAAGACGATAGTTTACTTGCTTCTTTAGTTTTGCAAATGCAACTCCTATCTAACAACTATATTGGGTTAAAGAGAGACAAAGGAAGCAGTGGTCATGAAAAGGAAAAGAATGTGAAAATTGATTACCTATTTGGACCCTGTGCAATAATCATTAATGTTATCTCACATTTAATTATGAAAAGAGTGGTTTCAACACTCCAATAAAAGGATACTGTAGCCAGTTTAGACAAGATGGACATACTTGATTTGGCTTTTTGGTAGATAAGAATCTGAAAATAAATGATAAGATAAAGGAACCCACTCACATCAATGGAATAAGCAGTCCCAAGAATAAAGCTGATCAAAAGTGCCCAAAACAATGGCCATGAACGAACAACCCATCCTAGCCAAAAACTCTGTACAAAAACATAGGGAGAGTAAAGTAGTTTAAGAATGGAATCTTGGCGCCCATTATACGTAGTTCAGATACACAAATGGAAATAGCCATAAGAAGTAATATTTATTAAAAGCTTATAATAAAAGTTATATGCATCTACAGATATTCCTAACTAGAAATAGTATCTATACTCTATATACATATAAAAGGTTATAAGAGAGAAACTTACCTACCCATTTTGCACTCCACTTTTCAATATATACGTATTTCTCCCTCCATATTTTAATATATCTTAAAATATTAAATTATAAGATTATAATTAATGAAATGAAAATTTTAAAATGGTCTAGAAAAGTGTAGGGACCCAATAGAAATTAAAATCAAAACTCAAGAATAAAAGTACAACATTTTAAAACATGGAGACCAAACAGAAACTAAACTCAAAACCTAAGGACCAAAAGGTTATTTTGTCCAAAAAAAAAAAAAAATAGTACGCAGATATTTTCTACATATTAAATTGCTTCAAATAGACCCCAAAAGATACTAAAATAAAAATTCTAACAAAGGGTCTTGCGAATGATGTTGCACATAAAAAGTAATACCAGGATAGAAAACGTGAAGACAATTGCAACGCCAGTTCCAAAAGAATATTCTCCCGATGCTAATGGAAGATATGGCTTGTTAATCTGCAATGGAAACACATAGGAATCATTAAGGTCTTCTTTGATGGCTACAAGAAAGAATATTGCAAGCTCCGCTTTTATTATTATTCAAATGTTGTTAAGTGAAGGTCAGATCATATGATAGCTTATTCTGCACACTCATGGTGCTACCACACATTTTTAGAAGATATATATGGTTGAAATGCTCACACTGGTAAATTAAAAAAGATTATGGTATTGACCAAATAAGGAGATCACTACACAAATAGGCATGATACCCTGCCAGAAATGCCTATGTAAATATAGGTCCAAAACCAAGACTGCTACATCATTCTGATAAAAATTTACTCATGGGATACTCTTCCAAGTTCGCTAAAAATTATGACAGCAGACCTAATTTAATATGCTGCTACGGGAAAAAGAATACAAAAGAAGTACCTTGTCTATTTCGATGTCAAATAATTGGTTCAGACCTACAATATAAATATTCATGAAGAGGGCAGCAACTATAGCCTGGAAATTTTTTGCAAATGTGTTATATATTTACAAAAGCACAAAAAAAAAAAAAAAAAAAAAAAAAAAAAAAAAAACTATAAATCTTGTTTGAAAAATCACCTCCAAAAANCCAGTTAAAAATAATGGTGACAAGTCTGATAGTTTCTCAACAGCTAGTAGAGAAACTGATACAATGCTCAATGCCTGCAAGCATGAAAGGAAAGCATAAGCTGAAGATACATAATATATTTCACAGAGAGTAATTTTTCAGTGCTTTAGATGGTGGCAGGCACAATGTGGCGGCTACATCAAATAATTTTCCCACAGAGAATGAAATGAAACAAAAAGTTATTGACCTAAAAGGACATGAGTTTTTAAACGTAACTGTACCAATAACTGTGTGCGGCCGTGAAAACCTATAGAAAGCATCCAAGAAACTCTTTACAGAGTCACCATAATTTTTGGAATGTAAAACTTCCGATTCGGATTCAAAAGGCTGATTAGAGGCTGCATTTCTAATTTGAATTCGGTTGTCTTTCTTCTGACAGAAGGTGTATCCTTCCCGATGTCTTCTAAAGACACATTCAACATGATGTGATTTAGATTCAGACTCCACCCAACTGGGCCTCTTAGAAATCTTCAGTGCTCCAGGCCTTGGACCTTCAATTGGGACATGTGAATGATAAGCAAGCATTCTTGAACTCTTTCCTTAATTATTCTACGTTTTCAAATCATAAGACAACAGAAGAGCCATAATTGCACATATCAAAGAAAGGAAAATGGGGGGGGGGGGGAACCAACCTTCTTCTTTTCTGAATCTCTTCATGAAGTACATCCCAATTATATGAATTTTACAAAAAGAAGACCTAACGAAGGTCACCCGCTTTAAAAATATCAAGAAATAGTTCTGACTCCAGGAAGAAAAAACAAACAATAAATTCCCACAGCACTTGGATGCTTCTTTTAGGATCATTAAACATCCTTCTATTTTCACTCTATCTATAACTCTCACAAAACCAGACTTTAGTCATCCGGTGACCAGATTTGATAGTTAAAGTTATGACCACAGAAACTACCAAATATTCTTTCAGACTAAAATTTGCGTCTCTTATTGAAGCTTGTGGTCTTGAATTATGGAAAAAATTTCCTTCAACATCTTAAGGATTGGTTTTAATCAAAGTTCTTAGAGAGCTCTCATTTGATCTTTCCACAAGACCTTGCTGAAAACTAGTCACATGGGAGAATCTCACAGACGAATACAAGTCTGTCTGAGAATCACATGGGACTACACCAAACCCTCAAAATGGATGGTAAAAGGGCACATCCATCCACCTCTCTACTAGAAAAACAACGCAAGAATGAAATGGACAGAGGCACAGTTGCAGAGTCAAACTTCAGTAACTTTTATTATTTTTCTTCTTCTTTTTTTTTTTTATAAGAAACTATCGATGTATTAGAGACAAAAAAAAAAAACAAATGGTTACTTTTATAAATTACAGGGACCAAAATGGACATATTAAAAGAATAGGGACCAAACTAAACCAAACTTGAATGTGTAGGAACCGCAATGAACATTTTGAAAGTGCAGGGCCAAAGTAGTATTTGAACTTCCAAAAGATAGTGGTTTGAATGCCACCTAGACTTTGTATGTTGTATACTATTACTATTACGGAAACAATTCTCCTGTCATCTTGTTTTCTTTATTTCTTTTCAAAAGAAACGGATTCATTAGATTTCATTGATGAGACAAACTTACAAAAGGGGAAAAGACGTTCCTAACAAAAGGTGTCAAATCATATTGTACAACAATTTCTGTGTTTTGTTATTTACTTCTCTATTTGTAACTAGCTCCTAATTGATAAATGAATGATCGAGCTTGGTCTTTTTTCTCTTGTACGTGATTTTTCGTTCCTATTTTGTTTCCCTGATAATTGCCTTTTAGACTCCCCTTGTATTCATCTCTTCAAGAAAGAATATTTTCTTATCATTGAGAAAGGAATTACAAAAAAAAAAGTTCTTCCAACCGGCAATGAGAGTAGATAAGCTACAAAGGCAGAAATAACTATAGTCTTTTCACACCAAGGTTCAACCCAATAAATATCCACCCTCGCACAACATCACTTGCATGCCTGCAAAGGCTAAAAGATAACACATGAACGAGAAGTGACCTAAACAACCCCATTATCGGTACACTAGGAAACCACATGCACCCCATCTTCCCATAATCTCGTCCAAAACAAGGAGCTATATTTATAGAGGCTACACTAAAAAACATAAACATAAACAGAGGATAAAGTCACCCAGTGAAATACAACAATACATCATTTTCAAAAAGACTAGGATATGTTATCAGACTATACATTAATTCAGATATATTTGAATATCCACACATTTCAATGATTTTCACATAAATTTGTTCAAATTTATGATGACATTTAAATGTGTAAAATAAGCTAAGGAAAAAAAATATATCTTTCCAGAAATGGAAGAAATGAATTGTATATTTCTCATGATCTTAACATCTTATAGCACAAGTCAAAGGATTAAATTTTTATAATGATTCAACCTATCCTAGGAAAGAAATGTAAGTCAACTATGTTCCTTGGTAAATTTCATTAGTAGTAAAATTAAGTCTTCAAATATATGGTTAAAAACGTTAAATATTTTCACTCAAATTTTATTATTTTCCTTTATCGATTACTAGTTTCAAACATAAGCTAATAAGTAATGATTGAACACTTTAGCAAGTGTCCAATAATCATCCAACATGAGTTCGTCAGCATCTGACACATGTTGAACAAGTGCTTAAAGTATCAAACTAGAACACATATTCAGTGAGTATTCAACAGACATCCAACAAATATCAAGCAGTGCGCCTGTTAAACCAAACTAAGGGTGCAGGCTCATAGAGACTGTAAAAATGCTCATCCTAGAATTATCCACGACGATTGCCGGATGGGAGAAATGATTCAACGGCTAGAACAATGTATAGGAAGGAGAAAAACTAAAAAACTTGTGCTTTGATTATACATGTAAGGTGTAGGAAGGAGCCATAAAAATGTTGAACAAGTGCCCAAATAATCAACCAACATGTGTTCATCAGCATCTGACATGACCATGTTGAACAACTGTCGAAAGTATCATATAGAAAACAAACTCAACGCTTCAGATTTCTAAATCTACTCAATAAACATGAAGGCACTTCCTTAAAATTGATCCGCACCTTCCTCCCACTCTTATGACACGTGCACACACAAGAGGTATATGTAATAGAAATAGACGCAGATTCACACGTGTGTACAACCTTTTTCCAGGGATATTCGACAATAGCTATCTATTTGTTAACCTATTTTTTTGTAATAATCAGCGGAGTGTTATTCTTTTGGACTGGAGTCCATTCTTGTAGTTGGTTGAGAACTCCTTTTGTGAGCTTGTCTTTTTGTACACGTTCGTATACTCTTTCACCCTGGAAGGACTATTTCTTATTCCAATATATACATAGATATAGATATATTTGTATATTATTGAAAGTTAACTTAATATTGAACTATTGATTAAGATACCATAATTTTATCTTCTTTTGCATAGAAATATTCTCAATGTTAACAAAATAATAATAATAATAATAATTTTTAGAATTGAAATCTTAGGTTCCGATAACATGTTGTTTATGGGTTTCTGATTTTGAAAATAAGCTTATAACCAATACTTCAGCGTCTAGCTTCCTAACTTTATCACCTATATTTTAAAAGCATTCTAAACGATCTGTCAAAATTTTAAAAATAAGAAAAGTATTATTTAATAACTTGATTTGGTTTGTGAAATTTGGCTCAGAATTCAATGTATTTTCAAGGGAATGTGAAAAACATACTTAAAAAATGGTGAGAAAACAAGCATAATTTTAAAAAATAAAATGGGTATCAATTTCTGTTCTAAAATGACTTTGCTGTGAAGTAAAGTGCAAGTTCAGAGTTTTAATCGACACAGGCGTTTATGCTGTCTTCAGACTTAAAGGCTATTTGCAGGTAATTTTATATCGTAGTTCCCGAATTAAATTTTTAAAATTACAACCCAATATCTGGCTAAAAAACATTAAGTGTTTCATTACGACTGAAATCATTGTTTAATTTTAAAATTCATCAACTCTCAAATAGCCCCTCCAAGCTTACATGACAACCCGCCGCCCGGATAATCTCTTCCGCTAGTTCAATTCATCTAAACTTGCACAATCAACAACAGTCTTTTGACAATAGCAGTACCAAACATGAAATTTAAAAATCAAGCAAAAATTACACGAATCCTGCGTGTGCGATTGACGAATTAAAAGATGCCAGAGAAGACGAGAATCGTAAGCGATAGTTGCAAAGAAAATAAGGATTCAAAAACGAATTGGTCTTACTTGGAAGCCAAACATTGTTGACGTCACGATTTGTCCAGCCGCTTCCAATCCCACCTACTGAACAGAAACAGCGAATCAGACAAAACCAGACTCAAATCAGCTTCACTCAAGCAATAGGATGAGAATCGCGAGAACATCATCGAGTAACTCCTCAAGTGTAAATGAAAACGAAGCATCAAAAAAGAAAAACAGACTCGAAAACAAAAACACACCAATCAACAAGAAAGAAAAAAAAGCTAAAAACAAAATGCAGAACTTCCGGCGGAGAAAACTAAGATTGAACTGAGCCGAAACAGTCTCAAACCACTAAGATTGAAAGAAAAACAAACAGCATACCAACATGACTTCGGTAGGCTCTAACGAACACGGAATCCATTGCCAAGACGGTTTCTCCCTTTGAGAAGGAAAGGAAAATGGTGGAGATTCAGAGCTCTGAAGAATGCAGAAGCAAACTTTTTTCTCGCCTTCTCCGCCCGAGCTCTGAACAACCGAACCAAAGTCCAGAAGTGCAGTTCTGCACTGAAAGGCGTTAATAAATTATTGATTCTCCGTTCTTTTCCCTTTTCACTCATTTTATTTATTTATTTATTTTATCAAAATATTATTGTTGGAACTATATTTTCATCGTTTCGTTTTAAATTTGTCATATTATTTTCGTAAATCTTAAATTTTGTCCGCCAAAAGTTAATTTTAAAAATAAATATATTTCTAAAATTTTTATTAAGTGTTGTGTTGCCATTTTTCTGGATGATTTAAAAAATAATGTAATATAAATAAATAAATAAATAAAAATATGTGGTAATTATAAGTTTAAGCTACTTACATCTGCATATGTAAATATCAAATAACAAAATAATAACAATAATCAAAATGATTATTTAAAAAAAATTGGGACTCAATAGATATTAAAAAACTTGAGAAATTGTTAAACAAAATTAGAGAATTTAAATAATTTTTAATTTTGATTTTTTGGAGTATTTAATTTTACCATTGAATTTTAAATTTTATTTTCAATAAATTATGAATTAAAAATTTTACACGGTTATTCTTTCAGTTTTCACTTATGTTCATTTTTAATGAGCTTGTATTAAGTTTTTAGATGATTTACTTAATTATAATCAAATTAATTTTCGGCCAAGAATCATGTTATAACAAATTTAAATAAATTAATTAAAATTTAACTCATTTGTAAAATTTAGAAAATATATATCATATAGAAATTAAATTCAAACCTTATCAAAATATTGACATAAATATTGACATAAATATAAAATAAAAATAAAATATTTCAAAATAATATCCAACCATTATTTGGTTATCTATAACAATTTTAGCTATGGATTACAAGTTTTTTTTTTATTATTTTATTAAGATTTTGATATACTTTTGTCTAGTTCCAATCTTACCATTTAAACCATATCAACAAAATCAATTAAATCGAGTACTTCTATTTGTTTGAAATTTACTTATAGAAGTGTCGATCTTTTCATAGAGACAAGGTCTCTCGGAACCTCTTGTGTGTGATCAACGTCATGAAAATTTTATAATACTACATTTTCTATGTGCTCATATTAGAATTCTTCTTTTTATTTAAAAAATTATTTTATAATACCATATTTTCCATGGGCTCATATTAGAATTCTTCATTTTATTTAAAAAATTATTTTATGTGGCAGGACCCGTATTATATTTTTTTTAATGATTGGAAAAAATCTTTGTTGTTGGAAGATCTATAATTAATTAAATTTATTCCAAATAAAATGAAATAAGGGATTGTTATCAAAATTTTATATAAATAAGTATGATTAGTAGTTAATTTATTTTTATTACTTCAATTTATTAAAACAAATTTAATTTAATATATTATAAATAATGTTTTTGTGTTTTTTTAGTTTATTTAGCCATCAATATTAATAATTATTCTCAAATAGACTATTGTCTTAAGATTATAGTATCATGTACATAGATAGTTAATTTACCCCAATACACTAATATATAATCCAAAGTAATTCTCACGCACACCAATAGATAATTGCTAAGATTCGTGTGCATACAAGATTTTAAATATCTTAAGTTTAAAATAATAGATCCCACAACATTTAGAAAGTTCATATTCGAGTATACATAACATCCATTCAATTTGCATATTCATACACAAAACAATCACGTGCATACATATCTAACATGTGAGATCTTATATTGGCTGAAGAAGAGAGCAAATAAAATAATTTTATTAGTGGTGATTTCAAATCGTTACAAATGGAATCATAGTCAAAAGTGGGCATAGAATCACTATTAAATTAAAAAAAAAAAAAATCAACTCAAAATTAGAGAGCAAGATAATTGATTTTTCTTCAACTATCCATCAATATATTCATAATGGCCCCTCCTCTCCCTCACGCATTCTGTGAACTTAAGCCCAAATGCATCGGCTAAGTCTTTCACTCCGTGGAATTAGTTTCCTTAGTCTCCTCCGTCAACAATCGAGCTCAATTCAGCCATTTTTATTTAAAGCTCGAAGCTCGAAGCTCGAACCTCGAGTTCCATATTTAGTGCGAGAATGGAAGGCGCTCTCTTCCCCAACAGATGCCCACTTCCAGTGAACAGACCCATTCCACCAAATCAATCTTTGAAGTTTAATTCAACGAATCTTCCTCCTCCTCCTCCATCGCCGCCTTCTTCCTCATTTCCGATCGATACCCTTCTTCAGCATCTTCTTCAATTGTCTCTGCCTCCTAATGACACTCTCCACAAGCTCAAACCTGTAAATGTTGCGCAAAAGAATGTTGCCCATTTGCCTTCTCTTCAAATTTCAGTGGATTCAACGAAGAAACGGAGCAAAGGGCCTCAGTTGAAGAAACCCGTCTTGAATTCAGCTCCGGAAATTGTGTACAATGACGAGAAGATTCGAGATGGGCCTCTTCAATTTCTCTCCAAAAAGGGTATGTGCTTGCTTAATTCAATCGCTGAACAGCCTTTTGATAGCTTGAATGCTTATTTTGATTCTGTCGAGTTTGAGTTGCTTGAAATTGATTTGGTCAGTCTCTTGAAAGCGCTAGACCTTTCGGGGCATAGCGAGAGGGCTATTTTATTGTTTGAATGGTTTGTGTCGAACTCTGTTTCTGGAAATGTGAAACTTGATAATAAAGCTGTTGAACTTATGATAAGGATTCTTGGAAGAGAATCGAAATATTCAACTGCACTCAAGCTGTTCGACGAAATGCCCATTGACAAATACTCGCTTGATGTTCGCTCTTGCACCACCATTCTTCACGCTTATTCTCGAAATGGCGAGTATAAGCAAGCCATTGCCATGTTTGATAGAATGAAGGACTGTGGTCTTTCTCCAAGTTTGGTTACATACAATGTGATGCTTGATGTTTATGGGAAAATGGGTCGTTCTTGGGATAAAATTTTAGGTTTGTTGGATGAAATGAGGAGTGAAGGTTTGCAATTTGATGAGTTCACTTGTAGCACTGTGATATCTGCTTGTGGAAGAGAGGGTTTGATAAATGAAGCTAAAGATTTCTTGTTTGGGTTGAAATCAAGTGGCTATGAGCCAGGAACTGTCACCTACAATGCTTTACTTCAAGTATTTGGAAAAGCTGGAATGTATTCAGAGGCTTTAAACATCTTGAAAGAAATGGAGGATAATAATTGCACCCCGGACTCTATTACCTACAATGAGCTCGTAGCAGCTTATGTTCGGGCTGGATTCTACGAGGAAGGAGCTGATGTAATTGACACAATGACGCGCAAAGGTGTGACGCCAGATGCTGTGACTTATACAACTCTCATAAATGCCTATGGTAGCGCAGGGAAGGAGGTGAAGGCATTAGAACTGTTTAACCAGATGAAGAAATCAGGATGTGTTCCTAATGTTTGCACGTATAATTCTATTCTTGCACTTCTGGGAAAGAAGTTGCAGTCGAAGGAAATGATAAAGATACTCGTTGATATGAGAACGAATGGATGTTCACCAAACCGAATAACATGGAACACGATGCTTGCCATGTGTGGTGATAAGGGGAATCACAAGTTTGTGAACCGTGTTCTTAGGAAGATGAAAAACTGTGGTTTTGAACCCGGCAGAGACACGTTTAACACTTTGATTAGCACATATGGCCGTTGTGGGTTGAAGATCGATGCGGCAGAGATGTACGATGAGATGATTAAAGCTGGATTTACACCATGTATTATGACTTATAACGCGCTTCTGAACGCTTTGGCTCGACGAGGGGATTGGAAAGCAGCAGAATCTGTGTTCCTGGATATGAAGAACAAGGGATTCAAACCTAATGAAACCTCATACTCATTGATGCTCCATTGCTATGCAAAAGGGGGGAATGTGAAAGGATTAAAGAGGATTGAAAAAGATATCTATGATGGTCAGATCTTCCCCAGCTGGGTTCTTTTAAGAACACTCATTCTTTCAAACATCAAGTGCAGAGCAGTTGCAGGAATGGAAAGGGCATTTGAGGAGCTGATGAAGAATGGATACAAGCCCGACATGGTCATATTCAACTCGATGCTATCAATTTTTGCTAAAAACAACATGTACGAACAAGCCCACGAGACGTTGCACTTGATTCGTGAAGGTGGACTGCAACCGGATCTCGTCACCTACAATAGCTTAATGAATATGTATGCCAGAAGAGGAGAATGCTGGAAAGCAGAAGAAATCCTCAAGGGACTTATAAAATCTGGCTTAAAACCCGATCTCATTTCATACAACACCGTAATTAAAGGCTTCTGCAGACAAGGACTCATGCAAGAAGCAATAAGAACTATGTCCGAGATGACAACTCGAGGGATTCATCCTTGCATATTTACGTACAACACTTTCGTGTCGGGGTATGCGGGACGTGGAATGTTTGCAGAGGTAGATGAAGTCATTAGCTACATGATTCAGAACAACTGCAAACCCAATGAAGTTACGTACAAGGTCGTCGTGGACGGTTATTGTAAAGCAAGAAAATATCAAGAAGCTATGGATTTCGTGTTCGGGATCAAGAACATCGACGGTTCGTTCAACTACCATTCCACGCAAAGACTTGCTTCCCATGTAAGGGAGATGATGAGTACTACCATTCCACGCAAAGACTTGCTTCCCATGTAAGGGAGATGATGAGTTCTTGATCTCTCCAGGAGGTATTCCTGCTTGTTTATTTCTTTGTTCATTATAGAGAAGTACTTGTAAATATTTAATAGCCATTACAAAACATCAAACACCTTAGGTCCTTAGCAGCTCATTCATAAATGGGAGGGGTTTGTCATTTGAAATGGGCTAAAGGTTAAGTGGGCCTTGGAGTTTGGGCTATAATGGGCCTTGGAGTTGGGCTGTAGACATTGATGAAGCCCAACTTGTCCTTTCAGTTTCACAACCTCGTTGAAGATGTCTATTTTTGTATTCTTTTTATCCCTTTTACATGTTGTGTAAGTAAGGATATTGCACTTAGAGGCTTCAACTCCAAAAAACCATTTATGTGCACATGGCTATTTATTGTCATCATCTTCTATTGCCTTAATAGTATAAAGCACATTCCCTTTTGTAAT